CTATCCGGGAATATCTTATCAATGTTAGGGAGGTTTGAAAATAGGCTTTATTATTGTTTACAGAAAAATAGACAACATTTTCAACAACCTATAAGATAGTGCGTAAGTAGGTAGATCCCAAGGGTTTTATTGAAGAAATTTCTCTTCCGTAACTAAAAAGCGATTTTTTTCGAAATAAAATAATCAATAATCCGAAATCAATTGTTTAAACTAGATTTCCTTCCTGTTCTTCAACGGTGTAACTGAATCTTCTAATCAGTTGTGCTATAGAGAGATCCAATGATATAATTTTTACTTAAACACTAATTGTTTCTACAAATTTGAAACGCGATTATTCGAAAACCGCTGAACAAAAAGAAACAAAGTAGTAACTAATGTAAAGAAAATTGACACCCTTTAAAACGATGTGCCACTTGACCCCTCTCCCGATTTAAGATTCTAAGGGTCACATCTGCCTCTCCCAAGGGGTTGAAACAAGGAGGCTAAAAATGCTAAAAATGAAATTAACGGGTCTGTCCGATTTTCCATATTTTTTACTGCAGGAAAGATATTAAGGGTGGGAAGTTTTCAAATTGACACCCGGTATAATCTATCGCAAGTGCTTTGGCAGTGATGCAACAATTGTCGTTCTTTTTCTCTTTCTGGTCCACCGAGCGAGACGGAAATTTGCTGCAATTAACTGCAGTATTTGTTCAAATTGCAGCAATTCGCGGATGTTTGACAGAATATTATAATTTTTTAAGTAATTTCTTTCCGAGTTTTGTCAGTTTCTGTACACTTTTCCAAGTTTTCATTTGAATTTCTATTTGTGTGTGTGTGTGTTGCTTTCGGGTACCGAACATGCCGAAAAAGCAATAAGCAATATTGTGGAGGCGAAAAATAATTTTACTGATATTTTCTTCCATCGCTTAGATCTATAATTTCCTCGTGTTTTTCTTCTATTTTCTTCATAAGTTGACTGCAGGTTTCCGCTGCGAACACTTTAACGCTCACAGTTGACACCAAAAGTACAGGGTGCGCCAAATTGGACACTTTTAAATGGAAACTCCCATCTCTATACCAGATCGACAAAAACTGATGTCGGTGTCTGAGCCTAAATTTTCATGACAAAATTAACGACGAAAACCGTATGTCAATATCTGTCTGTAACAATTTCTGAGATACAGCGTCTTTTCCAGAAATCTGCATTTTTGGAAAGGCTTTCTAACGCTTTTCCTGTGATTTTTTTAACTTTCTTCGGAAATATTGCCAAATTACTTCTTCACATAGTATCCCTGTAGTTCACATAAGTAAATTTCATTTGCGGTAAACAAATAATTTTCTCAGA